TACAGTGACCGAAACCTTGAGCACCAAAGACATGCATGTGATAGGTTAAGTTTGGTTCCAAAACACACCTCAAACGGAGTTTTGGTCGGACTAGTATCGCATGTAATTCGATTTGTTACATACATCGTGGTGTCAATGGTTTCGGCTCGCCTTTATTTCTCAACTTGCATGTCAATAAGCACGAATCTTGCTCGCTGCGAGAGCGCTCTGTAAATATGTTCTGCCGTAACGTGTTGCTGTGGCGAATACGGCACTGACGCTTTATACGTGGTACTTATCTTCCGACACGTCTGCAAAACGATTGTTTGACATTCCCCATCTCTATCGGTGCGAAAACACTTGATCGCGTTATATTATAGGTTCCATCATCGATTTATAGTCAATATATTTCTCCAATACATCTAACTTGTGTGTTGAAAAATATACGGCTACATGCCGCGAATATTCATCCAGAAACGTTACTATGAATCTTGCTCCACCCTAATTTTTGTTCTCCATCTTACCCTTAACATCACTGTACACAATCGGAAGCAGTGATGCGGTCTACAATTTTAACGTAAATTGATTCTGAAATCGGCTTGGACGCCGACTTCCCAGTGACACGCCCTTCACAGATATCGTCTTGTTCATCATCGACAAACACCAGAACTATCATCTAAAATCTGTCGACAAATTTTCCAGGTTTATTATGCCTTGATCGCTAATGCCCTAATCGTACATGTAGTACACATTGACTCGTTGGTTGATCTTCATTGTTGACCGCTTCACTTGTGCTGCCTTTTTTAAACGTTTCTCATTCCTGCACAAACAACATACTTTATTGGGCTGCTTTGGGCACCACTTCTTTTTCATCCTATTTACAGATTGGCTTATTGCTGGAGGCCACATGCAAACATTTCAAAGACAATGCAGTAATTGAATGGTGTCTACGATCCAGCTTCGGTACGTATATGACATATTCTATATAATTGGATTCGTGTTATTATGCATAGCACGAATTGTCCCAATTATCATCAGCCGTCACTGACTCGCCATTCGCACAGTCTTCCAACAGTCTTGTCCAATGAGAAACTATCCACAGCCTTATCTCGAATTGAGCACATGTCACTACTCGCGCACTGTCGAGTAGTCAACTGTCCGATATATATTTACCGACTGAAAATGCCTGCCCGGTATGCTTCTCTTGTGTTTCAAACAATCTTGCTTCTTAGACCCATACCCGCTGTATACCAAACGTGTCTTAAATAATTTGTATCTTGATTTCATCGACCAGTTACTCCTGCTCTTGAAGTTTCTTGTTGCCTTCAAAGATAGCCCCCCCCTCCTTTTTTTCTTTCGAGCAATACCTTCGTATTCACGACGAAGCATTTCTTTAGCTCAAATAGGTCGACGTGTTGCGTATTATCTACAATCATAATCATCTGTTTTTTATGCGAGATAGCTGCTCATCGCGCGCGATCTCATCCCCGATGCTTACGTCGCCATCCACAACTCATCCAACTTGAGAAAATGATCCAGCACATTTTTTTCGTCATCTTCAAGCATGCAGCTGTCGACGCATATCTTTTCGATTGTGAATGATTCTAGGGAAAAGAATATCTCCAAAATCCCCCACGATTCTTCAGTCGTTCTTGCGTTCCGCACCATGTGTAAAAACTTAAGTATGTTGTGATACACACATTGCGAAGGACTTCATGTTTTTGATTTTCAATTTGACGCGCTGGCGCCATTTCTGTTTCGCGTCTTCATCGCGTCGATGTATATGAACAGGTCATCATTGGTATGCTTCATCAAAGCGCTGGAGACCCATACGAAGTAGTTGTCCTCGTTGAAAACTTGTTTCCCTCAGCCGTTAACGGGTTCATAACGTGTATATTTCTCCCTCTGTCAGTCTTTCACATCTGCAGTACCCACGACAAGAATATATGATACACACAAGGAAACTTTCACTGCTTGAAGTCATTGGATGACCTTTTGAAGAACGTCACGAAGCGCTAATATAAGATCAAGCGCAATATGAGGACCGCGTCTCATCGGAGCGCGCGTCTAACCTTTTCTATTTTAGTCAATGGTTATGATTAAGCCCTGAATCCTCTTCGTACATATACGGGAGGTAGCAGGGCACTGGCCCCTACTATTGTCAATGAGGGTCAGCTACGTATTGAAGTCAGTACGTAGTTACCAGTTCCCCATTGCGCTGGGAGCTTGTTCTTCACCCACAAGTCTAATCCAATCGTTCTTTGAGCTAAGTCAATTTCTAAAGCCGCAAGTTAGAACCACTTGATTCTGGGGGCCGTTGTTCGTTGATCCAGTTGACCCTTTGAGTCGGACTCTAGCTGTTAGAACTAGGTGGCTTGAGCCTTCCTCTGGATATGAGCTACGTAGCTCCTCTACACATGTTCATTTACTTCCTCGGGCAGCACAGGTGCGCCAAGCTTCATAATACTTATCAAGCTCTAAGTAAGTCAGATGGTGCAATTTTTTTATCTTCGTGTCTTTGACCGCCTCCCAGACAGAAGCCCGACCTGTGTCCCCTGTTTGTCTGTGCTTCACAAGAAGCCCAGGTTTGACTTTATGGCAGCTACTTTTTTTGTAGTAGTGTGTGCTCATAAGAATGGTCTGTAAAGATCGTTAGAGAAGCTCCTGGCTTTTTCGCCTGGCCGCAACTCGTGTCGCTATGAACAAGCGCCTCAGAATTTCCGAAATTGTAATGGCTAATACCTATTCTCCACGTCCCCGACCCGTATCTCATTGCCAGGGGCCGGAACTGTTCCGCCCTGAAGGTTCAGCATTAATCTCAGCGCACTGTGCGCGGCTGCGCTGATCGATTCAAAAATATCTGCTCGAACCTGCCACGATGCAGATCAAACGTGTTGGCCCGATAGACATCGAAATATCCTGATGAGATGAAGCGCACGAGTAATGGGTGACACGCCTCGTCGAAGACAAGGATGAGACATTCACAACGCGGGATAGACGTGAGTTCATCCGTAAAAGCCCCCTAGAGCTTGTTATTCCTGAAGATTTGACTCGTGCGTGAGTGCGAAACCTAGGCTTTTTACCACACACACACACACACATAGATGGTATGCAGTGAAAGAGGGCAACCGTACCGAAGGCCTGAGCGCATTGGAAGAGCTGTGGAATGATCGCGATTGACCACGAATTACGTTTTCATCCTCGCGTAAAGTCGTGGCAGTCGAGGGTATTGGTGCGTGCGACTCATTTCTTGGTTTCCTGGAAGCTTGCGACGGAGTCCTGTCCCGCGATAGTCGGTACGTTTGCGTCAACATGTCAAATGTCGTCGTCACGCCAAGCTCTAACCTGCAAAGGACTTCTGGATACGAGGCTTGCTACGGAAGAAGAAGCACGTACGTATAATGAGTACGTCGCCAGCTATCGTCGATTGAACGTCGAGCTCACACGCTGGCCGGAAGCATTCTCAGACGAAGCGAATCCATACAGAACGAGTGTTCACTCACCGGCGACAACAAGGGAATGTACATCAAGCAGAAGACTCGACCGCTCGCAACAACAGGAGAATATACTTCGCCAAGCAGAAGAATTAGCCGTTCGCACGGGCTCCTCTGGAATACGTAGCGGGTGACGGGTGCAGTGAACTCGTCAATAGTCCGACAAGATGTGGGGCAGAGATTCTTGATATCCAGATGGAGAACAAAAGCTTTTACCAATAGCACTGGATCATACCATCATTCAAGAGCTTCCGCCTCGTGCGTTGGATGAGCAACAATCGCTTCAACCTGTCGGTCGTCGGCTCAACATCCTCACGACCTAAACAGGTCTCTAATGTCTATCTCGAACGATACCTACTGAGAACTCGGGGCAATCCATAGCGGCTTCTGGACAGAGATACTCCACAGCAGCCTTTCACCACTTCTTGAGATGCAAACGATCGACAAAAGGGCACTGCTGAAGATCCGGACCTGGGCGGCTTCCAGTCTTCTTCGCACGTGTACGTGGTACAATAAACGCCATGCAATCGCTAGCGCGAACTTAGAAGCAGGTAGCAGGCAGCCCGGGATGTAGTTGCTTGCTTTTTACAGTGCAGTTGTCCGATCGGCAGGATCGCCGTGGACGCATGGACCCGTCGCAATATATGCTGTATGTTCAGACAGATGTGAGAAACAAAGCTAGAACCAACCGCACTCTGCGCGATGTGCCTCAATCAGTGAACATCCATTCATGAGGATCGCTCACGCCATAATGCCACGGCGCGTGCACCCAGCCCGAGATCCTGAGTTCGGCTAAGCGCAAAAGAACACTTGCTGACTCGTCCGAGCACGTAAGACGCCACTCGATAAGAGCGACGTCTTGATTTAACGTCTGGACGTCCGTCGTCCTCCTTAGTGCCGTGCAGGTCAGGGAAACGTGAGTCAGATACCAACGAACCGAACCTGTTGAGGTAGATCACCCCACTCGAACACATGAAGCATCGGGCAAGTAGGACACACTCCGCACAAACAAATGACTGTGGCTGGGGCTTCACTCGCTGAATTCAGTCCGGCATCGCGGGGGAATCTCGGGCGACAAGGAACGATCGCCAACACATCACGACGACACTCGGCGAGCAAAGTTAGTTGCAGTGTCGAAGAAGTCTGAGCAGATCAGGAGGGGGGGGGGGGGGGGGGGGGGGGAGACCCCACACACACAGGGGAAGGTTTTTTCTTTTTCCCCCCCCCCCCCCCCCCCCCCCCCCAGGGGGGGGAGGGGGAAGCAACCCCAATAAGTTTTTTCTTGGTGTTCCTTGTTTTTTTTTAGGGAGAGAAGAAAACCGTTGGTTGTGTTCATTCCGACGCGACTATTACGCTGGAGAATCCGCTCGCTCGCCGTGTTTTATTGAACCCATTGCACGACTTCGTTCGGGCATCGACCGATCTTTGCGAAGAAGTGCTCGTGTTGTTTTGGAGCCATCGCCGCCAGCCACGCAAGAAATGTCCGGGGCGCTGTTTCCAGTGTACCGCCGTCTGTGGGCGACGTCGATGCCGCTCGTGTCGTGGGTCGTGCATCGAAAAGATGGGCGACGACTTGTGCCTCGTTCCGTCACTGCGGAGCGCTTTGGATGCCGTGCGCCATCCGGTAGGTACTTTTTTTCCATGGAGACCGAAGGACAGACAATATCGTGGAAAGACACTGTGTCCGTAACGTGTGCGTGTGTGTGTTGTGACTGCAGATCATTGGCACGAGAGCGAAGGACCGCACACGGCGGGCGAGCGGAACCAGTGCTTTACATTGTGGATCCACACTGCATCCGTGGGCGAGTCGCTGTCGGCTTTACCGCTTGTTGAGCTGGCACTAAACACGCCAATGCTGGACGACGTGTTGGCTTCGCGGGCTTGTCGAGAGCAGAAACAAGTGCGGGTGTTGCTGTCTACGTCCACAACTGCAGCTCGACAGGTGGTCACGGACCGGATGAAAGACGTACGTACCTGAGCCGCAGTGTTTGATTCTGCTGACGAGCGCTCATCTCTCAGGCTTTACGTGTGCTCGTGTCTTGCGGTTGGCTGTGGGGACTGGCGATAGCATCACAACGTCACGTGTGTGTTGGCTCCTCTGGACCACTTGTCGTGCGTTCAGCGGTTCTACGATGCCTGGCAACCCGAGTAGGCACTGCTTCGAGTCGTTACCAGTGTGTACAATGGTGTTCTCTCACTCATCCTGTGCATTGCAGTGTCGGTATCTGGATCGAGTCGGAGATTTGGCCAACGCTGATCGCCGAAGCTGCTCGACGAGGCATCCGCATTGGTCTACTGAATGGGCGAATGTCTGCTCGGTCGTTTCAGTTTTGGCGACTGCCGGGGATGCGCGAGCTTTCGACGAGTGTTGTTAGCAAGTTCTCGCTCGTGCTTTGCCAAGACGAGCAGGTATGTGCGTCGAGTCACGTTCGTCATTGTGCGACTGACTGTGCTTACCGCGCACGAAACCTCCGTGACAGAATCGACAACGCTTTGAGCAGCTTGGAGCACAACGTGCACACGCTATGGTGAACCTCAAGTTCGGTACGACTTTTTCCGCGAGCTGCATGTACGACGTATGATATTCTCATCCTCTGCACATTGGTTCCTCAACTGCAGCGTCGCAGCGTCTCCCGGGCAATGCAATCGAAAATGCTGCGTTGAAGCGTGCAATTGGGTTGCGACCAGCATGGGTTGCTGTCAGCACTCATGCAGATGAGGAGGTAATCATGGCACATGTGCACACAGAACTGTCGAGGCGATGCCGCGGCGACCAGCAGCTTTTGACGGTGATGATCCCGCGTCACCCAACGAGGACATCTACAATCGTGGAGCAACTTCGTTGCAAGGTGCTGTCTTTTGCGTTGTCTCCCTTGCTTCAGTCGTATTGCCTTTGTTTGGGCGCTCATCGTGGTTGATATGCTGGGTGCAATGTCTTGTCAGTTTCCTGAACTTACCGTTGCCTTACGCTCTTGTGATCGCCTGCCATCACCCGCAGTGGATATCTTTATCGTCGACACGATGGTGAGTGTCTCCATGGATTGCCATTGTGGCGTCAAAGTTGTGGTGGCTTACGCGCTTACGTTCGCGCAGGGGGAATCCGATGTGTACTTTGACGCTATCGCTACTGCAGTGATTGGAGGTACGACATCTTTGGATGGATGATATCCCCCACACTGGATGCAGGTTCTGAGTTGCGAGAGCACTTGTCGCCAGGTACTTTTGTCAAGCGCGGCGGTCACAACCCCATTGAGCCGCTTCGAGCAGGGTGAGTGACAACAAGAAAGCCGTTATCGACTGCATGTCCTGCGACGTGAAGGACTGACACACGATTGCGTGTTGCCCAGTTGCAATGTACTCATGGGGCCCCACATGGAGAACTTTGCCGACATGTTCCATGTACTGCAGTCGAAAGCAGCCGAGTCGCTTCAGTCGGTAAGCGGTCCACAAGAGCTTGTGGCAGTCCTGGAAACTCGCCTTCCTACCGCTGGACAAAATGCCAGCGATAACGCCGACGCGATCGATTGTGCCTCTGCATCCGACTCGCGAGCCAAACTAGTGCAAGTGATGGCAGACCTTGCAACTTCAACACGATTGCAGTACAAAACACGGCTTCGTAGGTGGTTAGCGAGTCGTCAAGTGTAGCGGTTGCGGCAAACTAATGGGGAAAAAGCATTGATTTGATAGCAACAGAAGGGTCCAGAGTGGGTGCAAGCTCGACAGGCACATCAAAGCCCGAGCACACGTCAGCCTGCGCCCTGTCACTGCCTGCAATAGCACGTAGCTCAGTACGGGCGGTATCGATCCGACCGTCCACCAGAGCCCCCTTGGCCTCCACCAGAGCCTCCTCCTTGACGGTAGCCACCGCCATATCCATAGCCAGCAGGAGGTCCGCCTTGAGCCGCTCCGTCTCCGCTGAATCCTCCTCCTTCTGCGCTGGCGCCGCCTTCACCACCTTCGCCATCAGCCCCTCCAGCTGCAGCGCCACCGCTTTCACCATAGCCACCGTAGCCTCCATAGCCACCGTAGCCGTAGCCACCCCGACCGCCTCCATACGCGCCGTAGCCGTAGCCAGGGTACGACTGCGGATATCCTCCATAGCCACCGGCTCCATAGCCACCGGCTCCATAGGCAGCAGCGCCGTAGCCTGCGCCGTAGCCACCGCCATAGCCGCCACCATAGCCACCGCTGTAGCCGCCACCGCTGTAGCCGCCACCGCTGTAGCCGCCACCGCCATAGCCACCACTGCCGCCACCACTGCCGCCACCTCCGCCACGACCTCCACCTCGCCAGCCGCCACCACCGCCGCCGCGACCACGACCCCCTCCGTAGCTGCTACCGCCGCCTCCACTACGAGCTTCCTTCGGCTCTGCTCGCTTGATCTCGACAGTCTTGCCATGAATCTCATGGCTCTTGCTAATCACTTCTGCTACCGACGACTGAGCAAGAGGGAGCACAAACACAAGCACATCACGTGTGAGCAGCCTGTGGACGGCAGCTGCAACCTCACTCCTGACGCACCTCTTCCTCAAATGTGATAAAGCCAAACCCGCGAGAGCGCTGCGTGTCGCGGTCGATCATCACCACAGCATCCGTCGTCTTGCCAAACTCTTCAAAGTAGTGGCGAAAGTCTTGCTCGGTCACAGTGGGGGCCAAACCACCCACGAAGATCTTCTTTTGCTCGATATAGCCGCCGCCACCGCCGCCACTGCTGTATCCGCCACGTCCCCCGCCGCGGAATTCGCTACACAGCACATCAAGAGATACTACAAGTTAGACGGGGTGTCAGCTCTCGCCAGGGTCATCATGCGGTCTGCTTGCTGGTTCGGGCTAGACCGCGTGCATTACTATGCCAAAGCCCCTCTCACGGGAGTGGACGGAGAAGGGCTGGATAGAGAGAGCGAGGGTCGCGCGTGAAGACCAGAAGGGAGCGAGCAAACGCCATTTGATCGTGTTGAGTAGAATTGTTCCTCTTCTTCTTCTTCCTCTTCTTCTTCTCTTGACCTGCTCCTTGCTCTCTGTCTCTCTCTCTCTCTCTCTTTTGTCTCTCTTTCTCTCTCTTTCTCTCTCTCTTTCTCTCTCTCTCTCTTCCTGCCCTTCTTCCTTCCTGCGTTGCTTTACTTTCTTCAGCAAGTACATAGTAGTAATACACAGCAGCCAGCCCTGCAACCAGCACGTCTCTCGACTGCACGCGTCACGGCAAATCACTACTAACCTAGCACCGGGTGCCGTCTTCTCCCTCGGGATCGCGCGCTTCACTTCGACTGACCGGCCGTCCAGCGTATGTGTCTCCTCCAGCACACGGTCGATCGCTGCAGCACCACACCACCACATGCACCACCAAAAAGAGGAGCCAATCAACAACAACACATTGTCAGCAATTACCACCCGCGAACACGTCAACAAGCCACCAAAACAAACCAACAGCAAACAAACAAACAAACAAACAAAAGCAATAACACCAACAAGACACCAACAACAATACAACACAAACAAGGCAGCACGTGCCGCGTGCTCTACCTAATGCGTCCGCAAACGTCACGAACCCAAAGCCCCGGGGCTGACCCGTGTACTTGTCCTTCATCAACGCCGCGTCCGTGAGCACGCCGTACTTGCCAAAGTGCTGACGCAACGTGTCTTCCGTCGTCTCCCACGACACACCGCCAATAAACAGCTTTCCTGGCTGCGTCCCGCCGCCGTTCCGGTCGTAGCCACTGTGCTGCTCCATCTGCTGCGGCTGCTGCCCACTGCTCTGCCCATAGTCGCCGTACTCCCTCGTCTCGTGCTGCTGCTGCTGCTGTTGATACTGCTGCTGTTGCTGCTGCTGCTGGTACTGTTGCTGCTGCTGCTGCTGTTGCTGGCTCGAAGTCGGCCCTCGGGCCTCGTGCTGCACGTCCAACTCGTTTGGATTACCCGACAGCGCGCGGATCTCCTCGTCGTCGTCGTCCTCCTCCTCCCCGTCGTCCTCTTCACGGCCATTGCCACTGTCTCGGCCGCCCTCGTGACTGGCAGCTTCCGTCGGGTGGCCGCTCGTACTGTGTGCGGTCTCGACCGGCGCGGGCTCTTCTTGCTCGTACACGACGCCCAGTCCTTCCATTGCGAGCGGTGCGGTTTGCTGGCCGGTCACTTCCTCGTCGTCTTTTGCAAATGGGTTTTCTCTCTACGGCTTTGTATGTCGAGCTGTCTCGAGAGATGAAGACGTGAGCATCGCTCGCTCCCCCCTCCAGTCAGTCGGTGGTCGGGCGCTTGGGGCGGTTCGTTTGGACGAATCAGAGACGTTCGTAACGGCGCAAAGGAGCCAATCGATGGATCGACCAGGAAATGGCGAGAGGCGGCTATTTGCGGTAAAAGTGGCGTCGCAGATGCGCAATATTTGATCTCGTTCCACAACCTGTGGACCGAGACGAAATATTGCAATACCGTGGAAAAGTACACTACGCGTGTCGACCCACTTTGCGGACCGAGGCAACCAACGAGCTGAAGTAGCTGCAGCCACTTCGTGCTGGTCCCACAGTGGCCGCAGCTTGCGCGTCGTTTACCAATTGCTACGAGCAGCTTTGCCATCTTCAAAAGTAACCACAAGATGCGGTCGATCTATGCCGTGTAACCTCCCGCAAAGGTAGACGTAACCCCGTTCGGTTGATTTGTATGCTGCATGTTTACGAACACAGTAGTGGGGAATACCACCAAATGGCAGAACTGATCAACTGTGCGATCAAAGCACGAGGTAAACGGCCCATGAAACAACAACGATGTACCGTAACTCGGTCTCCCAGAACTCGTGATCAGAATGAAGACGCTGCTGATGAGGTCTTTACCGTCATCATTCCAGCAAGTACCCCACAGCATATAATTACAACCAGCCAACTGTCATCGGCCAAAGAAAACTCGGTGGCTCGCTGGCCGATCTAGCGAGGCCGGACGACGAGTCCTCGACATGCATCCATTCTGCCGGCGACGTTGCTGGTACATTGAGAGAGACGCTTCGTCTGCAAAGCGTCAGGCAACCGGCTCAAACGCTTTCCATGACGATGCTAGGGGGATACGCACTGCCGCCCTGCATGAGTCGGATCGAGTGCTGTAGATTGCGCAGTCGATCAATCAGTCCCTTCATCACCACGTTCCTCTCGTAGACCTCCTTCTCCGCCCATCACCACATGATTGTTACCATCATCACAACAACAACAACAACAACAACAACAACAACAACAGTCACATCATCACGTCCGTAAGCTCACACCCTTCCTCCCACCCTCACCAGATACCGTCGCACTCTCCCTCACCTTGCGCAGCTGGTTCCTCTTGGCCACCAAAGCTGCCACCGCCGTATCCTGCATCATCACCATCATCATCATCCACAACCGTCAGCCACGACTGCACCTGCCGTCACAACAGCCCTCTACCGTCCCACATGTCACCTCGTCCTTGTCCCGCACCCCGTTCTCCTTCTTCTTCTCCAGCTCCTTCACCGCCTCCAGCAGCTCCGCACTGAGCTTCATGTACTGCGTCTTGAGCGCCGCCATCCTCGTGTACGTGTCCTGAATCTCCTCCTGCGTAAATGGGACCACAACGGGGTGGCCCTGACCGCCCACGAACCCAACAGTCTGTCCATTGACGTCCGCAAACGCCTCGTCCTGCGCCGTCTCTGCTTCCGACGGCGGCGATCCCGGCGCGTTCACGTCCGCGGCAAATGACTTGAGACTCGAGCGGAGCGGCGGCTTGAGGTTCGTGTACTTGACCTCGTCCAGCACATGGTACGCAATGGCGAGCAAGTGCGAGAGCGTCTGCTGCCCACTCTTGCGCGCGGTTGTCTCCATGGTCATTGGGGAGGGAGCGCCTGCAATACCGTTTCTTACCGACGTCGGTTGGCTTTAGAAACGCTTGCGCAATAAATGCGGTGCACGAGGTAAATTACCTCGCGTTGCATCCGGTCGGTTGCCAGCCTCTATCGAAACGATCAATGAAAAACACTTGTTTGTAGTGGATGCGCTTTTTTCGAAACAGAAGAGACGCCTCGGTCAACCTATTGCCCCGTGACGCGCTGTCCGAGAAGCGCAGCCAATCAAGTGACGACAGCGCGTCGATGCACCCCGCCACGACGCAACAGAACAGGTACGTCGCGGCCCATTACACAGTACAGATGGACATGCACATGCATTGCATTGTGAGGGGGCAACTTCCAGCCCATAGCAACGCGCACCGTCGTGTCCGCTCTCAACTGCTCTGTCCGTGTCCTCCACATCCACCACCAACGTGTCATGTGTACGGGTCTGGACATACCGAGCCGAACCTTACAAGTCGCCATCTGTAACACGTACGTACATCTGTACCCGTCACGTTCCTCCAGAAGCTGCCACGTCCTGTGTGTGTGGGTGTGTGTGTTGCGGCCGAATCCGTCTGACTTTGGGTAGTAGACGACGGCAACTGCCACTGTGCATACCGCGACTCTGCAATCACTTTCACACATCGTCACATCATGGGGCATCCACGTTAACGAACTTGCTGCCGTCACTAGTGCCGTCACTTGCACAACCGACTTGTCGAATGAGCTGCAACAGCACTGCTCCGTGGCGCTCGACCCTTGAGAATCAGCTCTGAGCGACTGCTGAGCCCATGCTCCTGTTTGCACGAAAGCGAGCATTGGGTCTCCTGTCGTCAATGTGGTAGTAGGCTGCCCGGATCAATCTCTTGCTGCATCGTCGCGCTCGACAATCGAAGAGGAACTCATGCGCTCATCACTGCATTCCTATTGCGCGTGTGCGAGGCGAACAATGCATCGACGATGTTGCGGCAGCGGCGCACACAATCCGCACAAGTCCTCGAGCTCGAGACAAAGCCGTTCCCATGATGATGTATCAGCTGTTTACCGCACGTCGCACTTGAGCGAAACCGTCCGGCAAATCGCTGTATCTTCCTTCTCCAGCATGACGCGACTCGCTTCCGCCGCCCTCTTCTTCACGAGTGCCACAGCTGCCGGTTTGCTGCGAGCGTTTGGCCAGAGTACTGCTACTGTGCTGTCACGTTTCCCACCTTCTCGCGCTCTTGATCCCGTGGCCAGTCAACTGGTGTGCTGACCGAAACTTACTGCAGATGCACTGGTCCAACTCAACGTCTTTGACTCGTGCGCTGATGCGCTCTTCGTGGCCAATTGCGTGGGCAATCAACTCGTGTACCGCATCAGCTTTAGCTTGAGCTCCTTCTTCCTGCTCACGGCGCTGCGGAGCTGCACGGGAGTGGCCACTAAAACGTGCGAGAGCGTCTGCTGCCTGCTGTTCTGCCAGCTGCCGTTCTACTCGGGACTGCTCGTGGTGTCGCTCTTGATGCCCAACGGTAAGGTGCTTCATCCCATGTCCACGACAGCTTTGTTGGATCCAGCAACCGGTCGCTCCTGTCGACTCTGCTCTGACGTCTGGGTTTGTATCACTCGTTGCTGCAGCTTTTTTCAACGCGTACGTGGTCATTGCGCGCGTGTCGTCGGCACTCTTTATCATCCTGCAGCTCGTCATCATCGTCGACTCGAGCTGTACGTCCCTATCTTCGCTTCGGGACTTGAGATGCTGCTTCATATTATCTTGTGACCGATTCCAGATCGTCTGCGGGACTACCTTCTGGACAAGATGGACGACGCTGACCGTGACGACGATGCTCGTAACGCGTTGCTCGGTACTAACATTGGTCCAGCGCAAGGCTGCAGAATGACAAAGACGATGTGGTGAGCTCAGCCTCTTGAGCTGGAAACATGCTGTCGTGCTCAGTACTGACCGTTGCGTACCTGACGGTTGTATACTGCACTGCAACATCAGGGAAGGAGCGTACGTCGCACTGGTGTTCGTCGGAATGCTCGTGATGGTCATAGGGATATCGATGATGTACACGCACTATGGCGCGTGCGGCATCAACGTTCTTCTCATCTCAATGGCACTGCTGTCGGCCATCGTTCTGATGGTGTTGAGCGGTAGGTACAGATGCTGTTGGCTCTTGATGCACAGTGCTGAAGACATTATATTGCTGCAGTCGTGACGAGGGCAAACGCGGGGCTCTTGCCATCCACCACGGTCTCCCTTTGCCTCATGCTGCTATGTTATCAGGCAGTCCAAGCGAACCCGAGAGCGTCATGTGCACCAGTGCCTTCGTTGACCAAAGAGGAGGCCCAGGCACAATCGGGTATGATAATGAACTCTTTCATTGCAGCGTTCACGATCACCTGGACAAGCTGGCAAACGTCATCGACCAGCACAATTTTTCTCAGCTCGTCGTCTGCAAAGACACTTCGTGACGATATCGGCGAGAAACATGACGAAGAGATAGCAAGTGTTGTTGATCTGACTCCAGCTCACTTGGCTAACGGCGATTCTCGCGAAGTGGCTGAGTACCAGTTTCACGTACTGATGGTGCTGGCGTCGCTTTACATGGCAATGGGTCTCACAAACTGGGGAAGCTTTGACGGGTACAAACGGACGCACGACTCGTCGTACTGTGAGCGACACTCACGCTTTCTGCTTTCGTAGGTCCTCGTCAAGCGATGATGCGGTCTTCAGTATGTGGGTCAAAGCGATCTCGCAGTGGGTGGCATCAGGGCTATTTGTTTGGACGCTCGTGGCGCCTTCCCTGTTTCCCGATCGTGAGTTTTCGTAAACGTGCGAGGAAAGAGGTGCAGCGTAAAGCCCCAGTGGCAGTATATCAACATGGACCAGTGACAGTCAAGTCGGTACTTTGCAGCGCGTGCAACCCATTTCCATAAAACTTGACGTCAACCTCGCGAGCAGATGCAGCTCGCCGGTCAGAACGGACATCAGTAGAGCATGTATCGAGTTGACTGGCCGCAAAACACGCCTACTAGGGCAACCCAGTTCGGGTCAGCAAACCCACCTCGAGACAACGCAGGTGCATTATAGTCCATCGCTCGGGTATGAACGCTGCCATCGCACGCCGTTGCCATGACTTCTGATCGCGGTGACGTGTTTTGTCAATGATCGAGCTACGTCTCGGACCCTTTATGGTGTCAAACGGAACGAGTTCACGCTTTGCTCTGTTTTCACTTGCGATTTCGCAGGTCCACCCGTTGCCGCTTCCGACGTCCAGCACCGGAGCGAGTCTTACCTCCAGCACCACTTCCTCGCTGTCTCGTTGACGTGTTTTTCGCAACCCGAAGCTTCTGGCCGCTACACAATGTGCCGTCCAACTTGCGCAGGGCCTCCGACGCCTGCGTCTCGTTCGAGAAATCCACCGTATAACTTGTCCGGTCGGATTCAGCGCCTCCGCTCTTGGCAAACGACACCACCCCGGGGCACTCTTGTAGTGCATTGACTAACGAAACAAGCTCCAACGGCTCACTGGTCGATACGTGGATGGATCTGGATGTATAGTTGCCGCATTTGCTACTGGTACCTTCAACATCCACTTGCTCTGACAAGGCCCGCAAGGAGCGCGGTTTGTAGGAGGTAGTACCAGGGCCCCCTGTACGTCTCAAGTTGCTGCTGGTAGAAGTGACGGGAAATGTCAGCGCTTGACCCGGTGCGCACGAGAAGGGATATTGCTGGCTCCCGTCTTGATAGTAAGGTGTCGTTTCCATCCATCCAGGTGCATTTCCTCCAAAGCCGTGATGCTGGAGCAGTTGTTGCAAGTGTCCTGGACCCGAGCTAGCATAGGGGCGAAGATACTGATGCGAGGGTGGAAGAGGAGGATACGCCATGAGCTGCATCGGACGGTATTCCACACCTGCGGACGAACTCGAATGAAGTCCGCTCGAATGCCGATACGCGTCTCCTGCCATCGGCGATTGCTGAGTTCCCATTCCAGCTTCTCCAGGAGAAGCGAGGCGCGAACAGTGGCGGAAAGACTGACCTTCCCTCGTGCACGAATGCTCAGTGCTTCGCATCAAATGCGCAAAGCGTGCTTCAACAACGCGCAAATCTGTATCTTCAGATGACCCTGGCACAGCTCGTTCAGCTACAGTGTGGCCGAGACGCTGAGTACTGCTCGATTTGCTTTCGTGAATTGTGCTAAACAAATTCGGTGCCAGGACTACAATTGCCTGTAAGAACTTGCCTGAACCAAGCGGCAACTCGAGCTGATGGAGTTGATGCGCCGCCCGCGTAGCATTCGCATCACTGTCGAACTTCACGAAAGCCACCCCCTGCGCTTCGCCTGTGCTCTTGACGACCTTGATATCCATAAACTCCATTCCTGATAGTGACGACACTACCGACGAAAGTATGTGTGTCGCCAAAAAACGGTCGTACGTTAATAAGAGCCAGAGGCGATCGTTTCCCACTGATACGACGCTTGTCGATATAGATGGCGTAGGCTTATTTGCCAAAGGATGGCCCGAGTGCAAGATAGACGAGCACTTCAACGCCGTCTCAGCGTGACATTGCGCTGGTTTCTCGCGCTGCTGCAAGCCAGTGTCGTGTGCAAACGATAGCTGGTAAGAGGCATCACACGGCTTTTCGTTAGCAAGCCATCGCCTTATCCAAGTAGATGATATGTCGACGTACCGCCATGAACTCGGACTGCTCCGGGTCTTCGTCGCCTTGCGACGATTCTTCCCTGAACGATTTGACAACGAACGCTGCAGTACTGGGCTACAGGAAGCAGACATGTACATCAGACTGGCTCGTTAAGCCAGCGTAGATTGAGACGCAAAGATCGAGCAGCACAACTACCGTGGAATAACGGATGTAAGCCATGGTTTTCACGCGGCCAAAGCTTCGGACAAGCTCTGCCGATTCGAAATCACCATACACGCTAAACATCGCTTCTACCTCTTGCTCCGTGAACTGCATCAAAAGTAGATAACATCAGAGGTGGTGATGCCACAAGGAACCGTCAGCGATGGTAGAAAGACGTGGCTTTACCTTGTACGTCGACGTGAAAAAGAGCTTGCTGTGTACTGGCTCAGCTAGCTCCGATTCGACCTCGAGCTTTATGCCATGATCATGTCCACAGCTCTTATCTGCGTCATCGGTTATAGCGGGCCAATCCTGTCTCGGATCGACCAAGACACCGTCATGGTCACGTCTATTATCAGTTGCTCGCTGCTTTGCTGACCGGTGTAATTCTTCAGTTCCGTTCTCCGACGACTGCCGTTTACACAGCTTCTTCGATGCCACTTTGGCATTCGTTGCATCAGGCGACAAAGCATCGTCACTGCGGTCGCAGGGGTTTTTCGGTGGAGACAACGGCTTGGACTTCACACGTACACGGGCTCTTTGAGATGGCGAGGGCGATGCCGTTGTATTGCTCCGTTTGCGGCGGTATCCGCTGCCATCAGACGCGCCTTCTGTACTAGATCCACTGATATCCAGACTTTGTCGACGCCGGCGGAGAGGCTGCTTTACGTGACGGAGCGGTGTAGCTCCACTACTTCCTGTTGCCACTCCATCCACACCTTGCAGCGCGTCAGACGAAAACTTCCCAATTGCCGTCGGTGTCCGTACGATCGACAACAACTGGACACCGGGTGTCAACGAGTCTGTGCTTTTCCCTTCGTCAGAAGCTTCGTTTAATCCGGGCAGTACACCCTTACAGCTTTCATCGCTCGTTTGCCGCCTTACTTGGTCAAGTGTCAATCCCACTCGCTGGTACACAGCAAGCAGATCACCGCTTGCTTCGTCGTGCACCTCATTTTTCTCTACTGCGAGAAGCATTGCATGCATCACTTGCTCCAATTGCATCTGATCTTCTCTAGACTTTGCCAACCCGTCCTCACGAGCATCTGCAGACGGCAAACGCACCTGACTCGCCAAGCTCGTCTCGGTCTTCCAGCTTGTCGTATCGACAGCGTCAGCTTGGCCTTGTTCAAGTCGGTGATTTTCCAGCAAAAATGCTGGCGTGGCACGACTCGATCTCAATGGAAGCGCTACAACGGGTGGACTCGACCGCTGTCGCTTCCCAGGCAGTCTCGTCTCAATACTACCGTCATCTTGTTGTCCATCGCCTTCTGTCTTCTCATCCGAATCGATTCGTGCGTGCTGGTCGCGCTTTACTTTGCCGTTACCGCTCACTGTTCGTTCTTTGGCGACTGTCACCTACGAGAGGAGCCAAAAAAACGTCCGTAAAGTTCAACTCAACGTCCAGTGTAGACAAAGCGATGTGTATGTCCATCAACTGACTTCAGTAGTACCTTGAGAACGTGCCCGTCGTCCAGCTTCACGCGGTCCAGAGTATCTATCGCGGCAAATGCATTGGCCGGATCTTCGTACTGTAGAAACGCAAACCCCTGTTTTCCACACAGTGCAACATACCCCAAAACCGACAAACGTCACCACCGAACTGCATGTCAACACCATACAAACAACAAGTCCACCACTCCCCTACCCGCGACTTTTTACTTCGATCCAGCGCCAAGTGCAGGTGTTTGATAAGACCGCACGTTGAGAACAGCGCGCGCAACTCGTCCACTGTACACGCGCGACCGCACACAACAAACAGACGCGAGTGATCGTCCGCGTCGTGCTGTTCTGTCGCACTCGCTGTCGTGTGGGCCACGTGCTGACGCGCACGCGGCGGAGCGTCGGTGTCGTTCATGCGCACTTTGCGACGAGGGACTGCGACTGTGACGAGGCATGTGGCCGCAGCTATTCTGACAGAGAGGTTCTACGCAATTCGTGAGGCTGTATGGTGGGTTTACGTGCGTACACGGAAAAAAGAGGGTCCAGACAGCATGTTGAATGAATGTGCTGCAGACGTTTCGCTTCTGAATAGTCATATTCGAAACAAGAACTTTTTGACATCCAGATATTGTCGATGGTAAACACTTCGTTGATGAGCCACTCGCTTAGTCGTAAATTAATGAAGAAACGCTGTTGCACGAACATGGACCGGCGATCAACAGCCGAAGTGGCATTACAATGTACTTGTGTTTGTGCGTCCTTAGATCACAAAGTGACGTCAGTAGGAAGCGCCTGTGCGGTGGGATCGTTGTTTGTGCTGCCATGTACGATACGAAAAGCAACTTGCGCGGGCATGACACTTGTCAATGATCGCCGACGCTCGATGAGGCTTATCTAGCAATGGACTGTAGACATGAGAGAACGCCTTGATTGATAGTCTCGTCGTCTTTCCATCGCCTTGTCACAGATGAATCAACATGGACTGTGGCCACGTGATGCCGCTGTGTCGGTGGAGACACTGCCACAACATCTCGATGCACCTGATCTCAGCTCTGGTGACAACGCGGTCATGGAGCAATCTGCTTTCTGATTCGACATCTACCCGTACTCTCATAGTGCTGGATCGTGACACATTGCAATACCGGTTGCACGCTCACTTTACTTCTGCGTCGTCGAGCTTGCGACGATGGAAGCATGTTGTCGTCTTCACTGCGACAAGCCTTGCATGCGATGTTCAATATCGATTGCTCGATTGCGTAAGCTGAAAGACGCCTGGTGGAAACTGTGACGATCAGAAGCTAATGCTCGTCTGTTGTACAACGCTAACACCACTATCTCTTCACCGCCCACACTCCGTTGTCCCTATTGACAACTCAGCTACGAGTGGAATGTCCACCTTGGAAACGATACGAAGCTGTACCAGACGATAGTTATCACAGCATCATCACAAACGGTAACTTCTCGAGCTACGAGTCGTTCGTGGTTAGCCAATGTTCCTGGACAGCATACTTCTAGCTTTTCTGCGAGCGCCATGTTCAGTACGTAAGGTCCGCAGAGGACCAAGCCGTCACAAAGAAGCAGCTGGTTCGATTTGCGATCTTCGACACCGCCAGCACTGAAGAGGGTCGTTTCTTACGTTCTGTCACCGACAATGTCTTACGCGGTAGGCGTGGCCACAAGCTCACGTCAGCACGTATAGGGTACGCGATCGACGCCTGATGAACCAGTGCATCGATCCTAAGCATATTCGGACCTTTGCGCACGACCGACGGCATATTTGCGTTGTCATTTTACGTTGGAACAACGACACATGATCTGATAAGAGAGCGCGTGCGAGTCTTCAGTGCTATTGATTCACACTGTGTGCCAGTGGGTTCTGACCTTCGCTTTTACTCCATCGTTCGAAGCAACGGTTGGACAACCGGCAGCGCGTGTACGACAAGAAGTTGATAATCAGCCAGCCGCTGCTTTTGTCTCGCCGGGTGCTTTCACGTCCCGAACAAAAGTGGAAGAAGAATACAGGATATAAAGCTGTTTCTGATCCAGAACCTCCTTTGTATACCGTGCAACGCGCAGCTTCATCTCGATCACACGTATAAGTACGAACAAGCGTGCGGCAGAGCGCGAGCAAGAGCAAAACGCGGTGCCGGTTTTGTAGATCGTATTACGCAATCGTGCACGCGAGCGTCGCGGTGTTGGCTATTGTCACAAACCGCGCTGTGCTCACGTCACGAAACGCACTGTGACGTGTCGGTGTGAGCCGTCTCAGAGCCCTCACTTTATAATAGAGCACCGTAAGCGCCGCCCACAAGTTGATCGACGGACGACATGACGGAGACGACGCGAGGGGCTCCGGTCGCCGCCGTCGAGTTTGTCGTGCGGCTGCTCGACCGCGCGCCCGACGGCGTCGTGTGCCTCTTGGGCAGTGCCGCAGAGATCGGCGCCTGGGACGTCGCAAGGGCTGTGCCGATGGAGCGTATAGCGGACGAGACAAAGGAGAGCACGTGGCGCGCGTGCATTCCCTTTACGGCCGCTACAGACACACTCGAGTACAAATACATTGTAAAGCACCGCGAGACGCTCGAGTTGGTGTCGTGGGAGGGGCTGCCGGGCAATCGCACGCTCACAGTCGCCCGTGGCGCGAACGTCGCACTGTAAGGAGCTCGTGTCGATACGAACAAAGGGGCTGTAGGACGTCGGGGACACGGAAGAGTGTCGTGGCTCTGTACTAGTTGTTGTTGTGTATGTGCTGATGCTATTGCTGTCTCTGTTGCTGCTGCTGTGTATACATAGACGGGCTCGTTCGAGTCAGAGCTCCACGTACACGACGTCCCGGGCGCCCGTGCCAGGCCCTCGTGGCGCTGAGCTAGGTAATAACGGCAGCACGAACGGGTTCCAAGAGTGGCGGTGCTGTCGGACAGAGAAAGAAGCAAACCCGTGGTGGGAAGTGGACTTGGGAAAGGCGTTGGCGATCTCGAGCGTCCACTTGTGGAACGCAATGACGTACCACGAACAAGCGAAACACCCTGGTGGTCGGCCGCCCATGACGTCCAAGGCATCGCACGCGCCCCCGTTATGGATCTTCTTTTCGAACGAGCCGCTAGGTCGTCAAGCTGATTCACTGGAAGATGCACAGGCCAAAGCCGCGGCGGATCCGTCGTCCGTGCGTGCTATTGAGATGCAAAACTCGTTCGGTAGTCGTGCTCGATCACTGCATTTTGCTGCGCGCGATTCGCATCGAGGGGAGAGTTTCAATGGAGTTGATGCTCGTGTCGGGGACGCTCCAGAACTTTCGTCGATTGAGGCGCGCTACGTACGGCTGCAGTGCGCTGGCGTGTCATGTGCTCTTCAGTTTGCTGAGCTCCAAGTGTTCGCGCACGAGGCTGAAGACAATTGCGACGCGCTGGAAGATACAGCTATGTGTATCAAATGCGACGATGGGTTCTACGGTGTTGCAACGGCAGTGGAAGAAGACCTGCGCGAGTATGTTGAAAACGGATGGCTGGATCCGGCAGCCGCTGTGGCGGAGCTGAGAGTATGGATCGGTAGCTTTGATTCCAACAAGCCAGCCATTCAGTGGTTGGAAGGTGACCTGAAGCCCGGTTGTGCGGTAATTGACATGCGCTACGAAAGGTGCGTGACGGACGGCGATCAAGCAACGCACAGTAATCAGTCTCAGAAGAATCTGCTAGCCAATGGCAAGTCAAGTGGCACGTGGGAGTTGCTTCCTGTAGAAGTCAAAAGTGCAGCCCTGCTCGACAAAGAGTCAACGGAGCTGCGCAAGCTTTTCGACGAACAGCAGCAAAAGGCTGGTGTCGACATCTCAGCATACCTGAACAATGACCCTCGTGCCATCCCTCTATCCACATCGTCGGCCAATTTGTCGTGGCTGTCAAGACTAGCCTTTGTCCGACTGCTCGAGGCGTCCGACGTGACGGCTTTGCACGATAAGGTCGCCACGCGGAAGTATATGAAGGGCGAAAGTATCCTGCACTACGCCGAACAGAAGCGCGCTATTTTCTACGTGAAATCAGGCAGCGTCGAGTTACTGGGACCGAAATCCTCTACGGGCACGATCCTCCTTGGAACGCTCGAAGCGGGTTCTGTCTTCAACGAGATGGGGATCTTGAGCGTTTGGTCCCGACAGCCGGTCTTGTTCAAAGCCAAAGACGACGTCGTTTGCGAGATGCTTGACCTCGACACACTCCTCACAGTCCTGGGAACCAGCAAAGTTGTCTCCATTCGCAACGACTACGCACGTGGCAGACGCAAAGCAGGATCGCTGCTCGAAGAGAGACAGACAGATTACACGGATAGCACCCACGCGCAAGTATTTTGCGTCAAAGTGCCTGTGGATGTTGTCGACGGGAGCAAAAATCATACTGACGGACGCCTCCATCGCTGGACGCTCGACGTCTACGAATGCCAGAAGGATGCGCAGTCGGGGTCTTGCACCAGATCGAAGCTGTTGGGGTCAGCTTTTCTTCTTCCATCGCAGATCAAGAAGCAGGAAGAGTCGGACCTGACGGTCCCGGTCTTTTCCACGAACATGGACATCGTTGGTCAGCTCACGTTGGCCTACTTAGTTTTGACACCTTTCGCCCACCCGAAGAACAACATCGCGCATGTCTGGCGTTCGTACTGGCGGGAACGACCTCCACTTACGATCGGGCATCGAGGCATGGGACGATCGCACTACCAGGTTGATGGGTACCGCCTCGCCTTGACCCGTGAAAACACACTGGCTTCGTTCATTCTGGCCGGTCGGAGCGGTGCCGACTTCGTCGAGTTTGACGTGCAACTGACGAAAGACAGGGTGCCCGTGATTTACCATGACTTCAATGTGAATGTCGGCCTAGAAGACAAGAGCGCCGGGTCGTTTGGCACGAAATCCGAGCTGTACGAGGTTGGCATCCATGACATAACCTTCCGTCAGTTGACGCACGCCCATACGACCCCAGTGCCGCACAAGAGGAGCAAGAGTCAGACGTTGCAAAGCCGAGTGAAGAAGCACTGGGCGCGGCTGCGGAAAGACAAGCAGCTGCTTTCGCCCAGACACGGACCGTTCACAGACCATGACGCCACGGCTAGTGAAGAAGGCCACCTTGTCGAATTCTTTCCTCGTCTCGAGGACTTGCTCAAGCACGTTCCTGCGGAAGTCGGTCTGAACATTGAGGTCAAGTACCCGGACTATCTCTTCCATGAATCGATGCGAAGCCTGAGCAGCTTCACCATCAACGCGTATGTCGACGCGATCCTCCAGTGCGTGTTTGACCACGCTGGCTCGCGTCGCATCTTCTTTTCGTGCTTCGACCCGAGTATCTGCGTTGCGCTCCGCGTGAAGCAAACAAAGTACCCGGTGCTGTTTCTGACATGCGGGTTCATGGCCCCGCATACGATGGACGCGCGCATGACGCTTCAGTTTGCTGCGATTTTCGCCAAGATGGAAGAGCTGCAAGGTATTGTGTCCAACTCGGACGCGATCATTGAGACGCCAGAGCTTGCGCCGCTCGTGAAGAAGTACCTCGGCACTGTGCTCATGACATGGGGCGACCAGAACACAAACCACGAAATGGTGCAGCTCCAGAAGCGCTACGCAGTCGACGGCGTCATCAGTGACAATGTCATTGACCTCATCAACCAGGACAAGAAACTGCAGGCGCTGGCCAAGTAGACCATTGTCAAGTCCCGGTGTCACAATGCGCACATATGTGTATCTGCCCCACCACCAGCAGCAGCAGGAGGAGCGAGAACACAGCACGAGCGACATGGAGTGTGATGATGAAAGTGGATTAGAGACCGTTTTACGTGTGCCCTACCGACAAAACTCTACTACCAACTCAGCAGAGTGCGTGTGTGTGTGTGTGTGTGTGCAAACAACCTATCGTCGATGTCTTCGCGAGCCTCGATCGACGTGAGCTCCCGCCTTCCTTCACTCTGCAGTTCGCAGTCCCAGACATGTATGCATTGGCGATTCGCATCGCCCACTGACCGGCTATTGCGGACACGGCGGAAACTTGCAGTCGTTCTCGGGGTCAGCAGCCAGCGTCTTGCCGATCGACGGACACCAGAGCCCCACCTCGATGCACGCTGGACGACGACTGTCGCGCATGGATCGGTCGGGTGTACCCATCTTGCGAACAACGCCCTTGTTGTCGGGCGCAAACCCCAATGCGAGCAAGTCAGCAGCAGTCGGTTCCGCCTCGGGGTCGTCGCAGTGCGCTCCCGACGTGGCCACTTGTCCTGCCGTCGAGCCAGCGGTAGCCAGTGCAAGTGTAGCCATGTACGCAATCGCAAGTTTGGCCCCAAAGAGTCGCATGGCTCTGTCAGTGGCTTTTTTCAGAATGACGACAACTGAACATATGCGGACGCGAGCCAGAAAAAAAGAATCTCGGTGCGAGACCTGTTAGAACGTATAAATCAACGCGGAACGACTTCCACGGGTTTCTGCTTTCGCGACTCGCCCTGTCTTTGCGTCGGACTTACCACCTCCTTAACGGCTTTTGGCGTTCCCCGCTTGTCTCATTAGCTCTTCGCTTTCACCCACAAACGCGCATACATACATACATACATATCATACATACATACATACATACATACATACATACATACATACATACATACATACATACATACATACATACATACATACATACATACATACATACATACATACATACATAGGTACATTCATACATACATGCATACTATACATCACACATACATACATACATGCATACATGCGCACTGATATGTACTTTCATTAGCTATCACCCACACTCACCCACATAAATACTCACCCACATACATACTCACCCACATACATTCTCGCCCACCTATTCTCCCACCCACATACGCACATACGTCCGCCCCCACCTCTGCCCCTATTTGTGCCCGTGCTCTCTCTCTCTCTCTCTGTATCTCCCCCTCCACAGTCACTTTCTCCCTCTCTCTCACGCCGTCGTCACCACATGGAGACGATCCAGAGCCGAAGACGCGCGTCACGGCCGGAGCAGCATCGACACCAGACGCTCGAGGCGGAGATCGCGCAACTTGAAGCGCGAGGAGCGCTGTTACCGCGAGACGCGCGAACGCTGCGAAGTCAATTGCACAACAGCACGAGCGGCCAAATGGACGCAGTGGACGCGCGTCTCAAGCAGCTCGCGCGTAGTTGGAATCCGTATCAAGACGGAGAAGAGCTGCCAGCTGAGGACAAGAAGAAGAAGAAGACGGAGCTGAAGGCAGAGAAGACAGAGCTGAAGATAGAGCTGAGGACGGAGCTGGACTTGTACCAGGTTTTGGCGCTGGACAGCGCTGTTCAGGTGACTGCAGACGACGTCAAGCGGCAGTTTCGCAAACTAGCTCTGTTGGTGCATCCAGACAAGTCAAAGCGGGCGCGTCGGTCGAAACGAGACCGCGAGGGTCCAGCAGATGATCGAATTGCAGACGACTTGCAAGATGTGCACTCGGTAGAGTTTGCCCGGCTGCGGGTGGCCTATGAGACGCTGATTGACCCGGTGAGACGTGCAGCCTATGATGCCAAGCGACTGGAAGGTCCGCCGTCGCAGCGGCATCGTCAGTTTGGTGAAGCCGTGAAGGACCAAGTGAAGCTGGAAGCGTCGACGGACTTTGCGTCGCTCGAGTGGATGGCACGAGTGAAGCACAAGATGGACGTGATGGCGCGGATTGCCGAGTGGGCCACGTTGCTGTCGCTCGATGCGACGGAGTTGCGCTTTGAGACTGGCGAGCCCTGCACTGGTAACGGATGTGGTAAGATTGTGAGCATGGATCGAGACTTGGAGTGTTCCGGATCGCCGCGTCGTCGCGTGTACATTTGCTTGCTGCACAAGTACATCCACGCTTGTGATGAGCGATGCACAAGCGCGTTCGGCGACGCCGAGCTGGACTGGCGCGTCTGCCCGATGCGAGCGTATTGGCTTGTGCAGAACTGGCTGTTTGATCAGTTGCAGAACGCAGCGTCACAGCAACAGCAGACGAAGCAGCGTCAATGTGGCGTGGCAGCTGTGGGGAATCAAAGTGGAGAGCCCGTGCGTAAGAAAGCGAAACAAGATGCGGATCGTGATTCAATAGACGCACCGAACGAGGCTATGGGCATCGTCATGTGTGAGTTGGAATCGTCGGAGATTTTCTTGGGTGACCAGTTCACCCGCTTCCGTCTCGAAAAGCTCGAAGAGTGCGAAAGTCGCCATTGTCGAGGAAGATTTCAGTTTCTGGAAGATGGCATCTACGCCTGCCGCCGTCACGGTACGCCTCACATCTGCACTTTCGAGCAGTGTGACCGACAGGAGTTGCGCGAGGGCAGCTACGTCTGCTGGGTGAGTGGCAAAGTCTATGGCCATGAACGCGAGCAGGTAGGCACCGATGTGCGCACGCGTCGCGTCGTGTTTGCAGACGCACAGGGTGACGAGAGCTTTGTGGAAATGGAAGTTCCGGTAATGCTGCCTCTGGGCAAGCCCACGGGGGTCTTACTGGAAGGAGACCCGTCGTTCCATCGCTCTGACAACGTGTCATCACTGTCTCCACCGCCACCAGACGAGAAAGCGTGGAGTAAGCGCTCGCTCGCAAGTTCGAACGGCTGGGCTGACTGTGCTCGACCGCAGAGGCGTGACGCGCAAAAGAGCTGTGAGCGCCATCGAGAACGAGAAACGTCGCCGGTGCGCAAGCGCTTGCATGATCGGCTGTCGGCAAAAGTGGAGAAAGCAGCGACAAGGTCGTTCCACATCTTTTTGAAGCTTCCGCCACCTGTTGCTATTTTGCCAAAAGTAGCGCTGGAGCTAGAAGAAGCCACAGGTGGCTCAGACGACGAAGACTTGTCAACCAAAGGCAGTAGCAGCAGTAGCAGAGAGAACTTGCTGCAGATCTTTGTGCACTCGCACCACACTGTGAGCTACATCAAGTGCTGGATGGAAGAGCTCACGGAGCAACAGTTGTCGATATGGGATCAGCAGATATACTGGGACGACACTCTTATCGGTGAGGAGGCCAACTTGATGGTTCTGGAAGAGCATGGAATAACCTCGGGCTGTGTACTGGAGCTGCGTCTTCACGAGGACTGTCCGTTATTGGTATCGGCCTGGACTGACAAGAATGCAGCGACAGGAGGTGCGAGTGGTGTTCCTGTTGAGTACAACACATTGCAGATTTCGAAAGAGGCGCAAGAAGATATGGGCGAGCAGCAGGAAGAGTGGGAAACCGTGGTCGCGGCTGAGGAGGAGGCCTTTGAGCAGTCACGGCTTGAGCTGAAACGCAGGAAGATGCATCGTCTTGGTGCTCTAGAGCATACCGAAGTGATTCAGTACGACAACGCGAAGTCGGTACCTCGACTTGTCGGCGTTATCCAGAAGCAAGCTATTCGTGACAGCGACGACAGCAAACACATACGGCAACTCTTTTCCCCCGTCGCGAGTGTGAGCACGAACGCGCGAGATGAGAAGGACGAAGCTTTGGTACCTGTTAAAAGCGAGGTCTTGGCGAAAGAAGAGCAAGCGCAGATTCCACGAGGAGCCAAGGCAATGCGAGCATTGTCGGATGATGCCAGATCAGTAAAGCGCGCCAGGAAGGTGCAGATAAAGCAGGAGTAAGTCTTGTGCTGACTTCATGTCCATTCATTCACCGATCAGCGTGGCAAAGACCCGTCGACAGCTTTCGAAGAGCGACATCGTGATAGCGGTGGATGGAGCATGGAAAGCAACGCGCGCTCCTGATCCTTTATACAGTGCCAGTACACCTTCAGTTCTGCCCATCGGAATGTCAGAATAGCAGCAGCAACACGCAGTGATGAGTCAGCATTTGCCTCGTTTCAGCCGATTACAAGCGCCGACTAAGCCGCATGAGAAAAACACGATGTGGCAGACGTGCCAAGATGAGGGCGACACGTACCGTATCACTTGAGTGAGACCATCGACAATTCCACGATAGGCTGCAGGCGCAGCTTTCGTGGCGTATGCACGTTGAACCTGTTACGAAACGCCAAGGACCGTCAGCAGGTGTCAAGATCGGCAAGCACTATGAACGAGCAGAAGGAGAATCTGGGTGCGGAGCGTACCTGTAGCCTTAGCTTGATAAGGTCCAGCGGATTGGTGAGGAACGACGCCGTGGCACCTGCAAGGGCAGCACTCGTGAGCGTGTAATGTGCTGGCAGCCCGTCCGTTTCGAGCCGCTTCTGCATGACCGCCTTGGTCTTCTCGTAAAACATGAAGTAGAGCGCCGAGAAGGGGCCGAAGGAAAGCAGCGTGGCCACGTAGCCCTTGTATAGGCTGCCGAGACGCTCCGTGCGCGCAATCGTCTGCAAGGCATCGATGGTGTTGCGGTAGTAGAGTTGCTGCTGCTGCTGCTGCAGAGCACCCGATGTTCCCGGGAGTGGCTGCGTTTGCACCTGCATGCGTTCCTTGATGACGTCGATGGGTACCCACAGCACACAGCTTAGTGCCTCAGCCATCATTCCCGCGCCCAGGTACAGCAAGGAGGGACGATCACGGAAGCTCTCGACACCTTGAAGAGCGTCTTTCGAGAGTTCATACGACGTCAAGTAGAGACAAGTGGCAGGCGCTGAGCCCACGATGCTCACGCCAATACCTCGATACAGTCCTCGCAAGTGTTGTGGACTGGACCGAAAGCAGCAACAAAGCAGCGCCAGCCAAGTCAAACTACACGTCAACTCGTTTGCTTTCTGCTGCAGCGAAGAAGACAATGATAACAACAAAACATATTCACGCACCTGAGCGCTCGGAGACTGAGCTGGGACGCAATGGTTTGTCCTGACGATGTACTTGCCTGAAGACGAGCTTTGACTGTGTCTAGAGGATGGCAGAAGACACGGCCAATGACACCAGCAGCCGCGCTTCCCTAGCGGAACAAGAGAGTGTGTGCGTGTGATCGAGTCGAAGGAACAATACATACGTCAGTACAAGAGAACGCGAGTCTCTGCTCTTGTGTATCGCACGAAGAAGGCCACTTTCGACCGTACCAGAAGGGTGGAAAGTTGCTGGCGACCAGCCTACGAGACGCGCAGGGCACGACACCCAGTGAACAAGAGAGGCGCACAGTAACAAGCACATGAGCGTCAGCGCAGCGACTAGCAACGTTCGACGCGCTACGGCGACGCGCTCAGAGAGAGAGAGAGACTTGCGACGCACGTTGGACAAGCTCGACGTCTCTCATTTGCGTGTCAAATATGTACCCGAGACGACGGTCGGAGGAACATGGCCGGGCCGGATGACCAAATTACCCACACTCGGAATTAATCGCGTCGGCCCCACCACAAACGCTCTATTTCCAGTGTCCCCGACCAAATCGAGTCCTCAATCACCCACCCAATCCACCCACCCACCTTTCCACCCACGCCCGTTTCTCGTACAAAACACACACTCGAAAAGCGTCCCCATGCCCCGCGTCTTCCTCGACCATAACGCCACGACGCCCGTCGAGCCCGCCGTCCTCCAGGCGCTCCTGCCGCACCTCGGCCCGCACTTTGGCAACGCCTCGTCGTCCTACGCGCTGGGCACGACCGCACGCGAGGCCGTCGCCCGCGCGCGCGCGCAAGTCGCGTCCATGCTGCGCGCCCGCGTGCCGCGCGAGGTCGTGTTCACCTCGGGCGGCACAGAGTCCATCAATCACGCGCTCAAAGGCGCTGCACTTGCGGCCGCGCGCGCGAACGACCGGCGGCGCCACATTGTCACGTCGTGTGTTGAGCACGCGGCGGTCCTCGCGACCTGTCACTGGCTCGCGACGACCCAAAGCTTTGACGTCACGTACGTCCCCGTGGACGCCTTTGGCTGCGTTTGCGTCCAGCGCGTGCGCGAGGCGCTCACGGCCGAGACGTGCGTCGTGTCGGTGATGCTCGCAAACAATGAGGTGGGGACGCTGCAGCCCGTGGCCGACATTGCGCGCGCCGTGCGGCAGTTCCAAGCCGAGACCTGCAGCGGAGCTATTGTCGTGCACACGGACGCGAGCCAAGCGATTGGCAAAGTGCCCGTGAACGTGCAGGAGCTGGACGTCGACTTGCTCACGATTGCAGGCCACAAGGTCTATGCGCCCAAAGGCATTGGCGCGCTGTACGTGCGAGAAGGCACGAGGCTGGACACGCTGATCCACGGCGCGCCGCAGGAACACGGACGTCGGGGCGGCACGGAGAACGTGGCACTGATTGCTGCACTGGGCCAAGCGTGCGCGCTCGTTGAAGCCCATGTGCAGGACTATGCGGTCGTCATGCAGGAGAGCAAAGCGTCGCTGCTCGAGCACCTCCAGAAGCACTGCAGCCTCACGAACGTCAGCTACCAGGTGAACGGCCACCCGGAACTAGTGCTGCCCAATACGCTCAGCATTAGCTTTGAGAACATCCATGCACCGCGTCTGCTCGACTGTACGTAGTGCTGCATTGACAAACAATCGGCGGTCGTGCGTCATGTTTGTTGCAACGTACTGATGCCACTGTTGTCTGTGTGTTGCGACGGTGTGTGTACTTGCAGTGATTGAAGCTGACGGTGTGTGTGCAAGCGCGGGATCTGCATGCCATAGCCACAAGCAGTACGACGACACTACAGAAGAGGACAAGAGCTTTGAGCATCAAGAAGACAATGTTACTATTTCGCACGTGCTGGCGGCCATGAAGGTGGCTCCAGCGTTTGCCAAGGGGACACTTCGCTTGTCCGTCGGTCGCTCGACGACACAGGAAGAGGTACTATACGCTGCGAACGCGATTCACAAGGCCATCCAGCAACTTTTGTAGATAAATCAACATGTACACCTATGACGTCTTCGCCACGCTCTGTGCGTTGTGGCCCAATGCTGCTTTGCAATGACTGAGAGCAAGCAGACACGTTGTACGTCCACCGCCATGCGCAACTGTTTCCTGGCGATGCAAAGTCCTGCCGGCCTTGTCCGTCCATCCTTGTTGTGCCCGCCTCTCTCTCTCTCAGTAGCGCTTGGAAATCCAAGCCAGTAGCCATTTCAGGTGCGTGAGCATATACTTGAGCGCTCGCGTCCACTGCTCGTCGTTGCCGAGTGAAATGGGCAAACCACCAATCTTGCCTCGCTCGACCTTGTACGGAAACTTGAGGGAAGGTTCTTCTTTCATCGCACGACGACCCGCGTCTTCGACGCACTCGAGAAAAAGGATCATGGCCTGGTTGAAGCCACGACGGCGGAACATACCACCGTCGCTGTAGAGGCTGTACTCCTTTCCGTACATATTGACCACGCGGGAGTAGCTCCCTCGAGGTACAAGGCGATTCCGTGAAAACTCAAAATCAGCGCGATCAGCGATCGTTGCCAGCAACAACACTGCCTGGCCCATCGCAGCATTGATCTCCACCCACTCCACTGGCTTTGATGGCAGCCGACCGAGCCGAAGGCCATTGATCGTCCCGAAAAGACCGTCGTGCCAAATGTGGAACACATCGTTGCAGACGTTGTAGCGTTGGAGACGGCGTAGCATATCGGACGCATGAACGGCGAATACGCCCACCGATTGGCGCTCGTCGCGACTCAGACCCAACAAATGCTGCAGAAACGCTCCTTCAGCAAACGTGCCGTGGACCAAATGCTCGAGATCCATTCCGGTTGACCAAAGCTCGCGCCTCTTCGCTGCGACTTGTGCAGTCTCATCCTCAATGGCTTCCAACTCAGCCTTAAGCTGTCGCTCTTCTTCTTCTAGAGCACGAAGCTCTGGGTCAGCGCGCCACTCATCGCTATCATCATCGTAGTCGACGTCATCGCAAAACGTTCGTCCTGACGCTCGCTCTTCGTCTACGAACTGGGCCATAAACCCCTCATATTGGGTGTGGTCTTTCTCAAGTTCGTGCAATGCTCTGCAGCAGATCGAACGAAAAACGTATGACAATCAGTCAGCTCCCACTGAGGACAAACAGCAGACTCCCTACCACGATGTTTCACGTACTGAGTAAATCGGGAAACTACCTTGGCTTCACAGTCATGGCAAGTTGGTAGCCTCTTCTTCAGGAGAACCGTGCTGCAAGAACAATCACCGTATTTAGTTACAGTGTATCTCATGTACAAGCCAGTTGCTCAAGCGTACCTGCAGTCCAACAGTTCCTGAAACCAGCAGAGATCGCTGCCATCGATGCGGCGCTTGCGGATCAAACGCCTTTGGCGTACCTGTGGACACGCATCAGTTCTTGCTGCAGGGCCGCTGTGTTCGTTCTCATTTGCCACCTCCTTCTCAGAAGCAACGAGTCCCTCTATCGCACCAAATGCAGCGTACGATGCTGCATACACCCACCCTTCCCTATCACATTGCGGAAGAGAAAGGTCGATCTCCCAATCGGACATCCACAAGTGTGATTTGTTCAATAGCCGCGCGGGCACGACATCTGCAATGCTCTGTCCGATATCTCCCCGATTGCAGCTCGTAAAAGCGGCAATCCCATTCATGAGGTCGAACTCAGCAGGCATCCAAGCACCACTCTCTTCGCTGATGTCCAGATGTTGTCGTTCCCAGACAATCTCGGGAACAACGGCCGACGTCTTTTGCTGCTGCTGTTGCTGTTGACTGAGCGACGATCTCACTGTCTGTGCTGGTGCTGCAGCTTCTTCTTCTTCGTCTGCGTCCGTAGTTTCTCCAGCGTCCGTTCCTTCGGTCAGTCGAGCTCCCTGATCCTCTTCTTCTCCTTTGCTGAATCGCTGCTCGCCCGGGTCCACCGGATGCTCGTACGCCACGGGTCGAAGCCGCATGATCTTCTCTTCAATCGACACGGGACTGTACTGGAACTTGAGCAGCGCACCGCATTGGTGGCACGTAAACAAACTCTTGCCTTCCATGGCGGCGCGTCTGGCGTAGCGCGTCGAGCTCTTGGTGTACGGCGAGCAGGACGCGCTGGCAGACGCCGGGGCTGGCGTCAGCGACAGAGAAGGCAGGACGGCGCTCGGGGGCGCTCCAGTCGAGGCTGGCGGTCGCGGCAACGCCCAAATAGTCATCGGCGTCTCGGGCGAGCTACGTGTGTTCATGAATAAAGCGTTTGCTCAGCTCGTAGACAGCGCTCGAGAGCCGTGAAAGCACCGATATCAACAAGAGGAAGCAGGAGAGATACCCGTGGTGATGCGGACGTGCGGGGACGAGGACTGGGCGCGCGACGACGCGCGCGGACGAGACGCCGCGGTGGGACGATAGAACAGCGCGACCGCAGCGGTGCGATGGACACGACGAGCGCTGATTGGACGAAATGAATTGAGTCGATGGAAACAGAGGACACTTGGACCGCTGCGGTGGCGTACCGTGCTCCCTTCGAGAAGTTATATAAATGCGGGGGGGGGGGCAACAATTGTGCATGCCCCAGCAAATTGGGTACATGCAGCAAATACCGTTGTTGTGGTCATAAAGGCACATTTAATAACTCGACGGATGAAGTAGCAGTACGTTGGGTCGTGTCTTGTGTGGACATATGCCTGACGTACGACCACGTGCTTCTGGCTACTCGACGTCGCCTCGTTCTCAATTGGGTTTGATAGCGGTTTGGTTGTCAATCAGCATCGACAGTGGCCGCTCCACGCGTAGCCCAACTCACACAACAGATTACGTACATGTAGCAGCTCTTTTGCACCATTTGCATCAGCTACTAACCCCGTCTAGGCACTCTAGAGCGCGACTGATGACGGCTGCTTCACTTGCCATCCTACAGGCGTGTGCCGTTCATGAATTCAATTGCGCCACTGACGAATTTGTGCGAACTCTTGTCGGCAACAAAGTCGGCGTTGGTTTCGCTCTTGGGTTCGATTCGCGTCGCAAAACGTCCCCTCTCATGTGCAGTCATGCGCTTGCCGTCCCTGTCGGGTACCGTCATACCCTTCGTGCAATCCTCACATCTTGATCCGTAGGTGCGTGGCTCTGGCGTGTAGCTCTGTGTACGGCATACGCCACATCGGGTCGGCTGCACGTGGCAATCCATAACAGGCTGCCGACGCGAGATTGAAAGCTCTTCACGGTTGGCGATTCTGCTGTTCCGGGTTTACTTGTCGGCAGTGCCATAACTTTCTCGCTTTCTGACTCCAACGACGACTCACCAGCTATTGGCGCTCGTACTGCATTGACCTTCTCGAGACGCTTCTTGTGCAACAGGTCTGTCATCATTTGCTTTTGACCAATACGGCAACCAGTCGCGTCGTTGCAACCAATGTGCATCCCGAAACAGTTCTCCACAACACCAAAGCAATTGAGTTCCAAGCTGATGGTCATCGTGCTGCCGGATTCGTCGAGAAATTCGTCATGCGTCGCGACAGCCAGCAAGTCGTCCATGTACGTCCCAATCACCACTGTCCCTTCCGTTGTGGTTTGGTAATACACGCATGCATGAGTGATTGACTGCAAACACCCTGCTTTCATCAGCGTGCGATGCAGGGGCTAATTCCTCATTCTTCCTGCTTGTTTGAGGCCATATGGACTATTCACTCGACCCAGGCACATGTCGCTCGCATCTTCGCCCCGGCTTTGCGTAGTTCTTCGTCACTAGGGGTCATGCCCTCGCTGCAGCCAGCAGAACATTTCCGCTGATCATCTCGAGTACTGCGCCGAACGTGAGATTGTCGTCACGTTCGAACACCCGGTCATCTCCACCCGCCACTAGCCGCGCCTTGTACCGTTCGATAGCGCAATGCCCGTCCTTCTTTCTCAATTAGACCCACTTGCTTGTCAGAACGTGCATACTGCTCTCAACTTTCACAAGCTCCCAGTGAAGTTTTTCCCCAAGTGACGCGATCTCCCACGAATGGGCTTCGGGTGACGTGAGCGATACGTTGTAGGATTCAGGATCCGGGAATTACGCATACTCTTCCTTCCTTCTTCTTAACGCCGACATTGCAAACGTCTGCGTCGCCGCGCTTGCAACCAAAAGGACTACCTCTTTCCAGCGCATAGTGGTAGATGGCACGGAAGGCGGGTTGCGAGCATTTGCGCTTGCGTGGGACTCATCCGCGTCCATCTATTTCGCAGAATTTACACGTTTGCGATCTGACCGTCACGATTCGTTGACACGCTCAAGGCTTTAGTTAGGCAACGGCATTGCATGGTCTCGCCCGCCAATTCGTGGCTCGCTCAGTCGTTGACTCTGTCCATCATGGGGTGACGCGAAATTCACGTCGTGAGCACCAGCTCGGGATGCTGACTTCTCCTCGGCATTGGTTCTCCCGTTGTCGGTCCCGTTCTTTCATAACTACTAGCCGCTCGAGTTCATCGTCGCTATCTCCTTCAAGCGTGCGCTTGATCGGCTCGTTCGCCTCTGCTATCAACGTTTCCACTTGCCCGATGTGGCGTGGGGCGATGACTGTGCTGTTGCTAGGTGGCAGAACGTTGTATCCTTTTGTCTCTTCGACTTTACCGATAATGACACCGGCAGTGCTGCGTTGCCAACGGTCTTCTTTTTCGGTCACTGGTACATTTGCACGGTGACTTAAGGACCACCTCGTCGACAGTGTCTACTGGTCTCCCGGTCAGGCACTCAAGTGGTGACTTACGCCCTAAATTGGCTCTCGTCGGCATCCGATTGAGCACGTGAGCTGTATATGTAGCCGCGAACCCACAGAAACGCAAAGGTAATCCAGAGCATACACCGCCCCATATACTCATGATGGTGTGATGCATTCTTTCGGCTTTGCCAATCGACGCATTTGTATGCGGCTCTGTCAAATGCCTACCGATCCCTGTTCGCTGGAAGAACAGGTCCAGGTTGTGTTGTTGAAGGTGACGTATATTGAGGAACGTTATTGACCAACAACACTGTAGCGCAAGGCGCTCGTTCCAGAATGACTTTCGACGTCGCTTACGCGCACGGTGTGCAATCCCGCTCCAGAATGGTTGCGGTTGACTTCGTATGCGCGCACGTTGTACAATCCCGATCCAGAATGGTTGCGGACCGACCGTTTAAGAGCACGTTGTGAAATCCATCGAGTTTAGTCCCATTCGAGACTAATTATGCATGGAATCCAGAAGGCTTAGATTAGCATCTTGCGTGTGAACTAAGGACCTAATGCAATCACTTTTGTATTCTCCGTCAAGGCATTACATCCCAGGCACCACATCTGGTAGCACTTGTTGGTCTGAAGACCCACACGCAGACCCTGAACCCGACCCGACCCCAATCTGACTGCGAAAAGCTGTGCGAAGTTTATGGACGCCATGAGTGGGCCGTTAAATGCTGAGCTCACGCAAAGCATGTTGACGATGATGTCGCAGCAACAAGAAATGATGAGAAAGATGGCTTAGGCTACAACACTAAAGGACTTACGTTTGGACGCAGTGATCGGCTCCCCGGTATGGAGGGCAAGTACAAGAATCGTTTGCGCTTTTTAAGGAACAAGTACAGCAGTACTTTACAGTGAGGCGTGTCAATTGGAAGTGCGCAACGATGGCAGCTACAATCATTCCAACCATTGGAAGCATGCTCGTAGGCACTGTAGCGGAATGGTTTGTTTGGTCAAGAAGCAGGAGCACGACTGTGGATAAGCTCTTTTTTCATCTGGAGCAAGAGTTCGTACCAGCAGACCTTCAGATACGTCTCCGTGACCAGCTTCGAAAAGTGGATCAGGCTCAATGCCGGAACCTTGGGGATTTCGTTAATCGCTTTCGACAGCTGATGATTTAGGCCCGAAATATGAGTGATTTCGACTCCATTTTCTATTTCACTCAGGGATTAAAGCACCAAACTCGCGCCGAAGTCGAGTATAGACGATGCTTATCGTTGAGTCAAGCGATCAATGTTGCTTATGATCTCGAGCGATCGCATTTTGGCGTCGGGATCGCCAGACGCGTGCAGCCGTTTCGTAGACAAGAAATAAGGCCGCGTCCGCGCTTCGAAGATGCCCGACCAGAGCATATGGAAATCGAAAATATACATGTGGTGTCTAAGGAAGAATGCTTCCAGCGCAAATTGTTCTTTTATTGTAAATCGCCGGACATCGACTAGCAGAATTTCCGACGAGGCCACGAAACCGGAGCTCATCGCGACCGAATAGGAGAATCGGCATGATCGATAGTGTGCAAGAGACGAAAGAAGACGATGAAAGTGGGATCGTGTTCTATCAATGCACTTTCAACACTATTGAAGTACAGGTGATCGGTCAACAGCCATCTTTGCTGCGTAAACGCGAAATGATTGATGGTGTGCACGTGACAATTTTATTGGATTGTGGAGCTTCGACAAACGTGATTCGTTCAGGTCTTGCGTCACGAGTCATCAGTAAACATCGGGGACAGCTGAAGAGGTTCGATGGTTCTCTAACTTCGCCAGCCGAGTTGTCGACAGTCGAAGCAACTGTTCGAATGAGTGACAGAATTTGCTCACATGATTTTTACGGAGATTCCCTTAGATGATGATCAGGACGTCATTTTTGGGCTTCCATGGATTCGCGATTACGCCCCGCAGGTGGACTGGATCTCCGTAAAAATTATACACCAAAAGGCTCCCGCTAACTCCGATGGCATGAATGATAACAGGTTGGCCCAGCCTGATCAATAAAATCAAGGCCTTGTACAAAGTGGACCTTCGCGTTAATTGTATGTGCAAAGAAACGAATACGCCGAGATTTACATGGCAAAAGTATCCCCTGTTACCACAAGCGATATCATCCCTGCATGGGTTTGTGATCTTATATTAAAATAAAGCGATGTTAACGTAGAAAAGCTTCCTGATGGTCTCCCGCCGACATGTGCTGTGCAGTTCAAAGTTGAGATGAAACCGGATGCCGTTCCCAGCTCTCGAGCCCCCTTTCGTTTGTTAAAGACGCAGCAATCAGCGCTCGATCTATTCATGACAGAGAACCTTAAGAAAGGC